CCGAGCCCCTTACACGCTTCACCTGGTGGAGTATCTCCCACAACACAAGCAGGTATTGTCCTCTGTGGGACAGGTTCTGACCTTGGCTCAAGGCCAGCCTGTAAGAGACAGCTGGATCTTAGCCAGCTCTGCGCAGCTTCTACGCTGTGCTTCCAATTCCTCCAATTCCCTGACACCTGTGGTCCTGGAGCTTGGGACAGGAAACACTCTAGAAGCCTGGAGCGCATTCTGTGGGAAGGCCACCGAGTTGAGGGGCAGGGGTGCTGAGCCTCCCAAGGGTCCTACCGGCGGGGGGCACATACCTGGCGTCCTGGACACCCGGCTCTGTGCGCGTTATCTGGGGTGGTGGGGCCCTTTGACTCAGATGGTCGGTGGAGTAAGGCAGCAGCCACCTAGGGCCACCAGCTGGGTGCCACGTTTTCCTTTCCCGTGAGTACCCTCGGGGTACTGCTGGGACACCTGCAGTCAGCAGCTCCCCTGCCTGGATCCCCAGAGTGCTCTAAGTCCGTCTCCCATGACTGCCTGAGGATCCCCACTTTTCCAAGGACCATGTGACAGTGTCACCTGTGCCTCAGTGGGCCTGGGGGCCAGCATGACAGGTCCCCAGAGTTATGCCTGAGCCCGGACTCACAGGCGATGATGCAGGGCCTCAGATTCCCTGCCCCCAACCTGGGCAGCATGCCTGAGGACCACGGCTGTGCGCAGCTGGTGTTACCCTGGGAGAGCCCTGCCTGGGCCTGCTTGTGCCAGCGACATTCAGAGGTTTTAGGGGGACAGCTCTGGAGGCTCCCACCATGGCCCTGTCCTCCCTCCCATCCAGACAGGACTCCCCGGGGGTGCTGGGAGGTAGATCCTTACCACAGATGCTAGGTGGGCAGACGCCCTCCCCTCCAACCACTGACGCCTCGTTCCTGGGTCCAGGCTAGTGCTGGACTCCACCACCCCACGCCTCATTTATCAGGAGTGTACTGGGGATCCACTGCTGGGCAAGACTTCACACGTATCCCTACCTTTAATCCCCAAACCTGCTGGAGGTGTTCACGTTCCCGGTGAGGAAACAGGTTCCATGCAGACACGCTGCGGCTCTCAGCTGACCAGGTGCTGCCCTGGACTCTCCCAAGAGGACCCTCAGTGCCCACTAGACAGGTAGACGGGTCTGGACCCCATGCATGGCTGTCCCAGGGGCTCACCTGGCCAGGCCTCCCCTGCCTCCAGTGCTGACACACCTCCTAACTTGACCTAGAAGTAGACAGGGTCCACGCAACCTCAACTCCACCCCTCTCCAAGGGCTCTCTGGGGACGCTCTCCCCGCACTGAACGGAGTTCCACGGCCCTTCCTGTCTGCTGCCTCTCCCTTCCCGAGGCAGGTGGAAAGGGGAGCCATGAGCCGGCTCCATACACCATCTGCTGCCCCTTTCAGTGAGGGCAGAAATCCGTCTGCCATGGTGAAGGGAGCCTCGGTCCAAGGTTGGGTCCTCAGTGAAAGCTAGATCCCCGACGGGCCCAGGGCTGAGTGAGGCTAGTCCCCAACCGCCGACACCCTGTTCATCTGGTTCTGGCCAGAGCTGATGATGGCAGCCGAACACTCCTCCTAGTTCCCACCTCCCTCCCGCCACGACTCCAGGCACAACCCCAAGGTGCCTCCAGCCCCGCTTGTCCTGCAATGGGTCTACTTCTTATGGAAATCTCTAGAATTGAGTCTGCTCCATCAAGGAGGAGCAGCTACACAACCTGGGCCTCTTTTCTGGAGCCTCCGCCCCTGCAGCCCAGTCCTCCATAGTGGCTCTGGCAGGTGGCAGGGGCCGGCACCCCCTGGGCCTGAGCGCTGCTGCTGTAAACACCTGCCCCTCAATGGCCCCCAGGCCCAGGCTCACACGGCTCCTCAGTAACACAAGGACAGCACCGTCTCAGAGGGGCACAGAGGGGCGCCCAGAGACCTGGCCTCGGCTGGATTCTTGTCCCAAGCCGTCAAATCATGATCACTGGCCCCTTCTTATAGCTGTCAGGTGAATGGCAAGAGGATTCCAGGGACTTCTACATGCTCTGTGGCAGATCCCAGCGTCCTCAGGGAGCCTGGAGTCTGGAGGCCAAACATCATGCCAAGGGCCAGGGGCTGCTTGGGAGGCACCCAGAGGCTGGGGCCAGGCTGCAGGTGGGGTGTCCCCTTTGCTCCCACCCCTCAGCTGGCACCTCTAGCCCACACCAAGAGGAGCGGAAGTGGCCAGACAGGGCCAGCCCCAGGGCTGCTTTCCCACAGTGAAGACCATTTTGAGGCTGTGTCTCTGGGGCAGGGAGGCAGGGACAGAGGATGGCGATCAGCTCTCAGAGCCTGTGAGGATGGTGCCACCCCCGATCCTAGCCCCTCCAGGTGCAGAGCCTGGCACCCAATGCCTCAGGCATCAGTGCCACCCTGTCTGGCCCCTGGCCCCAAAGCCCAGACTGCCCCTGTGTGCTGCGCCCCCAACCCTCGGCCCCCTCCAGGCTGAGACAAGTTTCTCTGCTCCCTCTTCCCAGAACAGGATGGAGGATGGGCAAGACCGGGGTCAGGGGTCATGGCTGGCAGTGAGCAGGTGCTAGAGTCCAGCTACCCCAGCTAGGACCCCTCTGCGTCAGGGCAGGGGACCCCAGCTAGGACCCCTCCGCGTCAGGGCAGACGTGACTCAGTATGGCTGTTGCTGCTTTGCAAATGAATCCTGATTTTGCAAATACATTTTATGGTAACGAGATCAATAAAAATAAACAAATAAAATTAAAAACGAACCCCGAGAAGGAAAAGAAAACCAAGTTCTATGTACTGCAAGGGGCGGGCGGCGCAGAGGCTGTAGGCGTCGTGCAGGCGCAGCTGTGGCCCACGTGGCCCTGGTGCTCCGAATCCCTCCGTGGGCTCCAGGAGAGCTGGACCACGCACTCCCAGGATCCGACACTTGGCCCCGCAGAGATCTGTCCTCTGAGGCACCACGACCACCGCTGAACAGCCGATGATGGGGCGAACGGGGGCCGTGGTCACCTCTGCCTCAGCTGGCGCTGGGCTGCGCTGCAGCGTCCCCATGAGGCGGTACGGTCAGCCTGTCTGTGGGGACTGGACGCCCTACCTGTGACTGAGGCGAGGCTCCTCTAAGTCCCTGGAACACCCCCAGGGGTGGGCGCTGTCCCGAGGCCAGAACGGGGTGGCCAGTGGCCTCTGCATCTTCATGGCAACCAGTTCCACTCTACGGCCAGCCCTCACCCTGCTGCTCCTGAGAGCCTGGCCTCGGGGCTGTCCTGGGGTCCAGGCTGTGGTCCTCTGGGGGCTGGCCCTCACCTGCGGACTCTCCAGAGTCTCCTCTGGGGCATGCCTTTGGCCTCTGCGCCTTCAGGCTCCTGTGAGGACATTGGGAAAGGGACAGCATCAGAAGCTAGCGTCCACCTGAAGCCCCCTCACTCCTCAGGCGGGGTCTGGGAACCAGACCCTCAGGGCCAGTGAGAGGCCCTGGGCAGAGGGCTGGGGAGAGCACACCGCTCACACGTAAATCTCGCATTCAAGCTGGCCGGTCCCCAACTCCGGAAGAGCTTGGGGGTCCCTGCCACCTGCTCCCTCAGTTCTCAGAGCAGCCTAGGAAGGCCTGGGAACAGCCCCTGGCTTAGAGGGAAAATGAGCACAAAGGAAGTACCGCGCTTCAGTAACTAATTGTGGTGGAGAGCAGGTCGAATTCCAGGCCTGGTGTCTCCTGGGATCTTTGCCCAGAGAGTACAGGGTGCTCTCTCAGCGTGGAGGCTCAGATGCCAAGCCTGGAATCCAAACTGCTGACTGAATTCTGCTTTGCTCCTTTATCAGTGCTCAGTGCCCCGGCTTTCTCATCTGTGGAGTGGGGTCACAGTGCCCGTCTCACAGCAAGGCTGCCATCAGGATCAAATCGTCTGCAATGGTTTTAAGACACAGCCTATACTGCTAGCTGTGACCCTGCCAGGCAGTGTCACTCTATTCTACAAGAACCAGCAGGACAAGAATGAGGTGAGGAAGCTGAGGCTTAAAGAGTACAAACACGGTGGCTGGGTCACATGTGACTGCAAGGCCACGCCTTTTCTGCAGAGACCTCGTCCTGGTGCCTCACAGGCTGCAGGGAATGAGGAGGGCTGGGGCTGGCCGTGTTGGGAGGTAGGGCTTGGACCAGATGGGCCACAGTCCCAGGGTTTCGGGGTGGAGGCAGTGGTGTTTCTAGAGAGTTCCCACGCGAACAGAAGTCCACCCCATTCCACCCTCACCCCTCTTTGAAGACCTCCCCTGTGTCCCCTGCCTGGCCTGGCCCTGCACTGCCTGTCCTCAGCCACGGCACTGCAATAGTGAGGGGGGGCCATCAGAAACAGCCTCACGTGGGTGTCTGTGAGATGCTTCTTTCATGCCCCAGCCTCCTCAGGCGCTCACCTTGGTGCGGGGGGTCCAGGGTGTCCCAGGGCCTTGCGGATGTGCTCTCGGGAGCAGAAGTCAGCCTGGAGGAGACAGAAGTGCTGCTGGGTCCTGAGCTGGCCTCTGGACCAGTGCCCCACTAGGAGCTACTGGTGGCAATGCCTCCATCCCCCACGGAAGCCCCCGGGACACACAGGTCACCGCCAGCTTTCCGGGCTCAGGAGCGGCGGCCCCACCAGTGAGTGTGTGACAGGGATGCCTGAACTGAGTCTAGGCCCTGGAGTGGCGGTTCTCAAACCCATCCGGGCAGTCTCTGAAGGGCCTAAGGAGCCGCCAGCAGATGGGCTGAGCGAGGGGCCCTGGGTCTCCTCCCCACCAGGGGCAGTTGGGGCTGCTCAGTCTTCACTGGTTTACAGCCTGCACTTCCCTGTAGGCTCTGTGTAACCTGAGGTTTCCCTGCTAACGCTCGCTTCCCTGGGACTCAGCCCAGCTGGTCAGCCCTCTCCCTGACTAGGTCAGCGGTAACCCCTGCCCCATCTCCAGAATCACCAGGATAAGAGGGCTGTGATGAGGGCAGACGCTAGCAGTGTCTGAGTAGGAACCCGGGGCGGGGGTGGGGCTGGCCTTAGGAAGCCCCCTTGATCCCAGCTCAGATAGGCTTAGATTAGCTTCAGGGCTGCACAACTCATGGAAAGCAACGGCTAATCCCCCAACCTGCTCCTGCTTCCGTTCATGGGGGAAGAGGGGCAGCAGTGGGCAGGGCCCGCACCTCTCACCTTCCCCTGGAGCAGCCCAGCCTGGATCTGGCACCAGGAGCACTGCTGCGCCTGTGACCATGGGGACACCAAGATTGCGGGGGCAGAGCCAGAGAGAGAACAGACCAACACTAACCCCCTGTCTGTGCTCTCCCCCGACCTTCCGGAACAGTCAGGAGAGGAACCTGCTGAGAGGTGAGTGGGCTCAGGAAGGAAATAGACCCAGAGACAGAGCGGGCTCCGCAGGACAGGACCCTCAGCCCACGCCCAGCAGTGAAAGAGTATGGGCTTCTGGTACAGACGGCTGCGCAGCCCGCCTGGCTGCAGCTTTCCTTCCCCTGGAGGGTGGACCCAGGACTTGGCAGGCTCTTCGCTGGCACTAGGCACATGATCCTTGCTCTGTTTCTAGATGCTCAAGGTACTCAAAAACCAGGTGTCCCCTTCCCTGCAAGGATGGGCCACTGTCCTACTCTGGGGCTCACTGAGGCAGAAACGGAGCTCCAGGAGCTGTGGAGTCTGCAGCAGCAAGACCTAGAGTTCTTGGTGCTGAAGGCTTGCGGGAGAGTTTTCCCGGTTCTCTCTTGGAAGACCACACCGCTGAGTTGGAATGGAGAAAGAAAGGCCTCTTTCCTGGGGGGTGAGGACACAGCTCAAAGGCTTGAGATTCCATACACCTATGCCCCAAACGAAGCCGTGCAAGGCTGCAGAGCCCACTCTCAGATGCCACCACTGGGCACAGCTCCCAGGGGCCGAGGGCCATTGCGGTGCGTGGGCTGCTGCTGCCCCCTGGAGGCCATACTGCGCGCCAGCAGCCGGAAGGCCCCAACCCCAGGAGGCAGTGGTGGCCTGGGCGTTTCCCACTGGCTGCGGGGCCAGTGGTGCCTGGAGATGGGGAAGCAGCGCAGCTTGTGCAGACCCGCGTCCCCAGCTCCACCCGACAGCCTTCACAGCATGCAGAGCGGCCACCTGAAAAGGCAAATCTGTGGGTGCCCCACTGCCAACTCATAAGCATCCAAGTCCCTGTGGGTACGTCTGAAACCCCAGCACACCCCAAGACGCTCACGGGCTCCCACCACTCTGAACTTCACTGCCCCGGCTCCAGCCACACTTTCCTGCTGAATTTAACTTTTTCTGAGATAAGGTCTTGCTCTGTCACCCAGGCTGGAGTGCAGTGGTGCGATCAGGGCTCACTGCAGCCCCCACCTCCTGGGCTCTGGTGATCTTCCCACTTCAGCCTAGCTGAGACCACAGGCGCACACCACCACACTGCTAATTTGTTTTTAAAATGTTTTGGAGAGACAGGGTCTCACTATGTTACCCAGGCTGCCCTCAAACTCCTGGGCTCAAGTGATCCTCCCACGTCTGCCCCCAGCGTTGGGATGACCGGCGCGAGCCACCTATCTCTTGAGCGCATCAAACTCCTCTGTGCCCAGGGCTGCCCCTCCCCTTCCTCCAGAGGGTCTCTTCCCAAGGTTGACTATTCTGGAACCCCCACTCTGTGGACTTCTCTGGGACAGGCATCCGCCTGTGTCTTGTGACCCCTGGTCCTATCAAGGCTGGCTGTGGGCCTCTCGTTCCAGCTCTCTCCCCAGCCTGCGGGCTGAGTCCTTTCACAGGTGAGCTGACTGCTTCAGCAGAGTTCTCACCCTCCCTGCGGGACCCAACACCAGTTTTGGTGCTGGGTTCTAGTGCGGGCATCCCTAGGTCCCAGCGTCTCTGGGACCTGCACAGCTTCCTGAGCACTGTCCCTGCAGCTTTCCTGCAGGAGCCTCCTGGCTTGAGTTCAGCTGCTCCCTCTGGGACCGGAGGGGCTGGCTGGGAACTGGCAGGACACCTCACCACCTAGGCTGACATCACTGATTCTTCAGGCTAGCCTGTATCTGGGTGCAGGCAGCTCAGAGAGGCTGGGAGGTTGAGTGTGTGGGTGGGTGCGTGGGGCGCAGGGCCTGGGGACGAACTCCTGGGAGTTCTGCACCCTCCAGTCTGCTGTCCCGACTGCGGGGCCCAGTGCAGGCCAACAAGGCTCTCCGGCCTCACGTCACTGCACTCTGACCCCAGCTGGGCTGCTGCGGAACCCTGAACAGCAGGTGCTGCCTCCCCGCACCCCCCAGGCCCACCCACCTTGCGCACCGGCTCTGGGATGCGGGACTTGCAGCAGCAGCAGATCAGGCGCACGGCTGCCTCCAGGCTTATCTTGTGGCCCACAGAGACGTACAGGGGCCTGGTGCTGCGGTTGTGGCTCTTCAGGGCCTGTGACAAGGAAGGTAAGGGCACCCCTGTGGGCTGGGCCACGAAGACCTGGGTCAGGACAGCCTCAGCAGCTGGAGCTCAGACAGAATGTCCCGGGGGCAGGAGGGAAGCTGAAGGGGGCGGTGCTCTCAGGGGCCAGGGCCTGCCCACCCTCAGGGAGCCTTCCTGCTGCTTGTCCCCGGGACAGGGTGGGCTCCACATACCCCAGGGCTCAGTCTGAGGCGAGAGGATGGACGGATGGGTGGGTGGGGGCTGATGATGTGTGAGCACAGGTGTGTCTGCATGCAAAGGATCCCCTACCCTGGGCTTTGGGGGGATTAGGGCCCTGGCTACTCACCATTCCCAGGACAGTCCCAGAGCCTCCCAGCAGAGGGAACGAGTCCCCTCCAGCCCGCATGAGTCGGATCTGGAAAATTGGGGAAAAAATGGGGAAAATACCCCTCTCTTCTTGGTGAAGGAAAGTCTCTTGATTTTGAAAACACAGTCACTGGGCCAGGAAAGGGAAGGGGACTGATCCTGGATGTGAGCCGAGGCCCAGGCAAAGCCATGTGCCCGAGGCAACACGGACCCCACAGGCGGTGATGTGGTCTCGCCCCTGCTCTGAGGGTGCTGCCCACAAGACCCTGTCCAACCCTGACAACGGGGTTTACAGCAAGGGCAGTGATCTGCCCAGAGGCACAGTGCCAGGCTGGCAGCTACACAGGTGCTGCCACTGTGCAGTGAGCAGCGCTGACCCCGCTTCCTTCCTGCGGCTGTCTCCTGCTGTGGACATATCTGACTCAAGCCAACAGGCTGGGATTTCTGGAGGCACAGACTGGCTCAGAGGGAGTCTGAGGTCCCATCGACTCAACAGACTGTTAATAAGCAACTGTTCTGTGCAGGTACCTGAGAGCTGGCAGGAATGAGACGCAGTCTCTGCTCTCAGAATCTGCTATCCAGTGGGCTGTCACTGGCTGCCTCCACGGGACTCACTCCCAGTGCCAATGTGGGGTCCCAGAGGAGGAAGATGCAGGAGAAGGTGGGGTAGGAGGGGTGTGGGCAGCAGCTCCAGGCAGGCCTTGGTGGAAGTGGGGCCGGGAGGCTGGGGTACCTGAGTACCCAGGTGAGGAGACGGGCTGGGGCCAGGTGGGATGGAGAAAGCACCAAGTGTGCCTGGGACAGCCTGGAAACCCCTCCAGTCCCCAGTAACTGGAGGACTTAGCCCTACTTGGTGTGCCACAGTGGTTCAGAGGTGTGGGGGACCAGAGAGGCAGGCAAGCCAGGAGGCAGGAGAGGAGCTCAGAGCATCCTTGGCTGAGATACGCAAGGCAGCGCCCAGAGGAAAGCGGGTCTTCCTTATTCCAGGCCATGAGCCAGGGGTGAGGAGGGCAGCATCACAGGCAAAGGGCTGGTCCAGAAGCGCCCTCGTGCCCAGGGCCACCACAGCACCCCCAAGCTGCCAGGGACAGCCTGCCGCAGCCCCTCCTTCTCCCTGTGCAGCGTGGGCTGCAGCAGGCCCTCCTCACCTTCTCCTTGTGCAGGGCGTTGTTCTCCAGCCCGTCCACCTGCAGAAGTTTCTTGGCCACCCCAATGCAAGGCAGGTCTGTAAGGACCCCAAGGTGGCAGGCCATCCCAAAGCCTGCCAGGGAGAAAGGAGGGCGGGGTTGGGGAGGTGGGGCTGGGGCCTGGCGCAGGGATTCAGGACAAGCCAGAATCTCACCAAAAGCTTCCCTAAGTGAGCAGAGGTCTGTGGACGGGCAGACAGCCAGGGAAACCAGACCTAAGCCCCAAGCTGACCTGGGCTAAGGCTCCCTGTGCCCGATTTTCTTGGTGTGGGGCTGGGGAGGAATCCTCCTTCCCTCTGACACGATCAATGCCAGGGTCGGCACCTTGCTAGCGTGCTGGGACACTGCAGCCTGGCTCTGCAGCCATGTCCTGCACCTCCCAGCCTCCTCTTCCCTTGATGGTGTCCTGCTAGTGCCGCCATGGGCATCAGGGTCAGTGCATAACCCCCATGTGTGGGGGCAACAGCCAGGACCCAATCACACTTGCTGGCCAGGGCGTCCAGTGCCACCCTCCTGGGTCCCTCTCTGGGTGTTGCTGGCTGTGCCACCCACAGGTCTGTATGCGAGGGCAAAAGAGCCCATCTCCCTCAGCTATGCTCCCTGGGCCAAGGGTCCCTGGCACAGGCAGGGGCCCGGGTGCACCTGTCTAGCTGTGGACAAGGGCTGACAGGCAGATGCAGGGTGGGTGGCCGGCAGGGAAGGCCACTCTGAGAACCTCCTCCTTCTTGTGCAGGACAGCCTGCAGCAGTCCCACTCCTCCCTACACAGCACGGCCTGCAGCAGGGGGCCCAGGCCCTGGGACATCCTGCAGTGATCAGCTGAGAACAGGGTAGTGGCACCTGGCGATGAACCAGCGAAGGGCAGGGCACTGTAGGAAACGCAGGGGCGGGCAGGCAAGAGGTGCGATGAAGCGAAGGCAGGCAGTCCTTTCCCGGGGGGAGGGCACTGCGAGTCCCCACTACGCCCAGAAAGGAGTGGTTGGAGGTGGGTGGCGGCAGAGTCCGAGGGCCCAGCGTTTTGTGTGGGAGATGACAGAGGTGCCCTCTCCCCCATCTCTTCCCCACAGCGCCCTCCCTGGACTGCTTTCGAGAGCAGAATTACCTCGGTGGTGGAGCACCCCATTTCCATCCACGAGAAGGACCTAGAGTCAGGGGGGAGTCACGGTCAGCTGAGCTGCCCTTTAGCCCTCAGGCAAGGGCCATCCCTCAGGCAGGAAGGGGACACTGTCTCTGGAGTTCGGCTTTCTAGAAATCCTCATTCCTCTCTTCCAGGAAGCTCATGAGTCTCTCCCTGCCATGGCCAGTGGTGGCAACCTGCAGCCACCTTCCCTTCCCCAGGGAGGATGGGCCTTTCTCTTGTCCTAGGGATGAGACACCTGCCTGGGGCATGAGGTCCGGCTCCTTCTCTTGCAGCTGCCGCACAAGCTCCAGCAGGAAGGGCACCTCTCGGAAGGCCAGGAAGCCTGACACGTAGGGGGCTGTGAGGCTGACCATGCGGCTCTCCTCATACACCACCTGCCACCAGGCACGCAGCTCAGCGGGCAGCGCAGCCCTCAGCCACCCACCCCACCCCCACTCCCTCCAGCCTGCCCCTGCTCTTCATCCTTCCCTCTCCCCAACCTCACCCTGATGGCTCCCCTTCCCTGCCTCACCTACGAGACTTTTAGAAGGAACTAGAAGATGTACCCTGCAAATTGGTGGTGGGCAGGTATCCCTGTGACCTGGTCCATAGGAGCAGGCACTTGGGACCTGGTCTGTAAGGGGGAGGCCACTGGAACCGGGTCCATATGAAACCCCTCCCACTCACCCCCAGACCTGGTTGATTGGAGGAGCCCCTCCACCCCCAGGACCTGGTCCATATGAGGAGCCCGCACTCCAGAACTGCAGTGCATTCCCTCCACCCTCAAACTGGTCTGTAGGAGAAGCCTCCGGGACCCAGTCTGTAGGAAGATTCCCTGGGATATGGCCTGTAGAAGGATTCCCTGGGATCTGGTCTGTAGGACAACTCCCGGGACCTGGTCAATAGGAGGATTCCCTGGGATCTGGTCTGTAGGACAACTCCCAGGACCTGGTCAATAGGAGGATTCCTGGGATCTGGTCCATAGGAGCCCCCCAGGACCTGGTCTCCAACAGAAGCAAGGCTAAGATTGCTGGCTGCATCACCCCTGCCTGTCCCTTGCTCTCCTGCTGTCTCTTTGTGTATTGAAGCTGACACTCCACCCCACCCCTCCATGGGGCTGCTGGAGGCTTAAAGAAGACAGTGCGGCCAGGCGCGGTGGCTCACGCCTGTAATCCCAGCACTTTGGGAGGCCAAGGTGGGCGGATCATGAGGTCAAGAGATCGAGACCATCCTGGCCAACACTGTGAAACTGTCTTACTAAAAATACAAAAAATTAGCTGGGTGTGGTGGCGCACGCCTGTAGTCCCAGCTACTCGGGAGGCTGAGGCAGGAGAACTGCTTGAACCTGGGAGGCAGAGGTTGCAGTGAGCCGAGGTCGTGCCACACTCCAGCCTGGAGCCTGGTGACGGAGTGAGACTCTGTCTCAAAAAAAAAAAAAAAAAAGAAGACAGTGCAAGAAAGCACCTGTATGCAGTGCAACGTGAACGAAGGCATTATTGAGTTTACGTGAGGCGGGGCCTTGGGGGAAGGCCATGTCTTCCAAGGGGTCTCGAGAGCAAGGCAGGCCACAGGGGCTTCATGAGGAGCTTTCAAACAACTCAGAAACAGGACAGGCGCGATCTCAGGGCTACACAATCAAGAGTGAACAGGGGTTCCCAAGGGGCAGGACAGTCTAAAAAGAAAAACCCTAAGGCTGCAAATAATCTCTGAGAGAAAGGGGAGGATGGGTGGCACAGGGCCCTCTGGATGGCAAGTGGGACGCTCAAACGCACAGCGCAAGCTGTGGAGGTGTGGAGGGCTGGAGGAGGTCTGGAGTCAGGGACCCAGGTGGTCAGGGGCTTTCCGGAATTGCTGCAGACAATCCAGAGGGCTGCAGAAAGCACAGTCATCTTGCTTAGAGCCTCTCTGGCAAACTGTTTTTCAAATTAAAAACCACGTGGCCAGGCATGGTGGCTCACGCCTGTAATCCCAGCACTTTGGGAGGCCCAGGTGGGTGGGTCACTCAAGACCGGCAGTTCGAGACCAGCCTAGCCAACATGACGAAACCCTGCCTCCACCAAAAAATGCAAAAATTAGCCGGGCGTGGCGGTGCGTGCCTGTAGTCCCAGCTACTCGGGAGGCTGAGGCAGGAGAATTGCTTGATCCTGGGAGGCAGAGTCTACAGCTTAGAACACAGCACAGCAGGCCTGACACTCCTAACCTTGTGCTTTCCTTAGTCACACTGGCCTTATGTGGAGAAACATTTCTCACTATGCCCATGTTCCCCAGAGCTGTCTACCTCGCTACAGTGTCCTTACTGACTCCCCAAACCTCTTGGTGACAGCTTTCAAATCACAACTTCCATTCCTTCCTGTGACTCCATCAATAATTAAACATACCAGAGAAAACTGAGCACTCTGTATTAGCATAGAGGTTTGGGGCTTTCTCTCAGTATTTTTACCAATGACTCAATAGGGAAACTGATCAAATCTGCCTATGACCCCAAGTGGGGAGGGTCCATTCTGCTAACAGATTTTGGATTCACGGTGAACCCAGCAGGGTGGATCCTGACATCCCCACACAGCAATGTGACTTTGCACAGTGACACATGTGGAATTCAAATGTGGCCTGAGTTCCCACAGGAGGAGGGTGGCTGCTGATGTCTGAATCTCTCCCATAATGTCATAATTCAGGTCACATTATGGGATGATTATGATTTCTAGTCAGTATGATAATGACATGCGGTTGTGTAGGAGAATGTCACTCTCAGGACAGGCCTGCTGATGTTTTCAGAGCTCAGCAGTCAAAATCGCTGGGACATATGGTGAGAGAGAGAGAGAGAGAAAAAGAGAGAGAGAGAGAGAGAGAGAGAGAGGGGGAGGAAGCAGCAGCAGGTGAACGTAAGTAGAAGGAATACAGGTGGCCAATGTAACCTTTTTCAAGTTTTTGGCATGTCTGTATATTTTCAAGTTAAAAATCTGGGAAGACAAAAATCACTGAGTAGTGTGTGGGCAGGCCCGGATGGCCAGCAATCTCAACATACACCAGTGACCTGGTGCCCCCTCAAAAGCTCCCTGCTTTCAGCTGCACCGACTGAAATGGTGTGGGTGAGTGTTAGGTCTAGGGACTTGGGTAGACGGTATGAGTTCCTGCATTTGATTCTGAGTGCCACAGGTAAAGATGGACCCTGAGAATGGAGGGCGTGACCAGAGGGCCGTTGGCCAGTGAAGAAGCTAGATATCACTGCAGCCTCTTGGGATGGAGCAGGGAAGGAGCACGCAGCTGTTTCCAGCAGTGGGAGGGCTGACAAGCAGAAGGTGGGGAAGATCTGTTGTTTTGCTACCTGAAGGCAGAAACGATCAATGGGAGTCACAGACAAGCAGGGGTCAGCACACACTAGCCACCACTCAGCGCCCAGCATGAACAGGCTCCGCTGAGAGGCCATCGTTTGTCAGGGATGCTAAGGAGAACGTTCTTCACGGTGGCAAAGATGGGCCAGTGGTTCTCCAACCCAGCTTCGCTTCAGAATCACGGGGAAGCTTATTTTGAAAAGCAGATTCCCAGGCCATACTCTGGAAGAGTTTTTCCCCCAGTAAGTGGGGTAGGGCTCTGGAATCTATTTTTCTAGAAGCTTTACTGAGAAACAATTTATATATCATAAAGTTCACTTGTTTAAACACATAATGCAATGGTTTTGGGATTTACAGAGCCTTCCATTATCACTATAACCTAATTTCAGAACATTTTTCTTAACCCCAAAATAAACCTCATACCCGTCGGCGGTCACTTCCCGTCCATCCCACCCCAAGTCCAAGGCAGCCAAGGATCTACTTTGTCTTTGAGAACGTGCCCATGGAATCTGTTTTTCAACACACTTCCGGGTGATTCTCCTCCTGCAGGTTCGTGCTCAGGCATTCAGGAATCAGTGGACCAGACTCTTCCAAGATCCTTTCCTAGTCCAAGTTTTCATAGTTGGGAAAACCAATGCCAACGAAGTAGCAGGCGCTTTGCTTGGTGCCGCGGTTGTAAAAGAAATACAGTACAGCCCTTCCCTAGAGAACTTCCAGCCAAGGGAAAAATGGAATCGTAAACAATTAACTTTAATACAATGCCAGAAGTGCTATAACAGCACATGCATTAAAAAGAGGCCCAGGATGCAGATGAGAGGTTGATAACTCGCAGCCAGGAAAAGTTGGAGGGGGAAGGGAATGCTGTGTTAATTGCTTTCTGTGCGTTTCAAGTGTTGCTCATTATCACTCAGTGAGCTGCACATTAATACCACCATCATCCTCAAGTTAGAAACACACAGAGAGAGGCCTAGAGGGTAAAGTGGGAGGTGGGAGGGCTGCGTGTGAGCATGAGCAGTCTGGCTCCTCAGACTGTGCTCCCACCCCAACGCCAGCCTATAAAATGGCCAGGAGACCTCTTAGGGTAGGGATTGTGAATATCCCAATCTTAGCACACAGTAGGCACTCAATACATTTTTGCTCAATTTAGCCTGAAAGGGGCCTCCCAAGTAAAGCACAAAGCTATGGAAGCAGGAAGATGTGTGTCATCTTTAGGAGCTGGCAGAGCGGCAATGAAAGGGAAACACTGGCGCCAAGAGGCTTCTGTGTCAAACTCTGCTGCTGCCAAGGCTTCCGGGGCTGTCGACTCTTACGTAAGTCACAAGCCCACCGTCCATTCACGCACATATCTACTTAAGGAAGAGTCCGGCATCTTCTGCATGCTGCCCGTGGTGGGCAAAACAACATGGTTTCTACCATCACGGAGTTTACATTCCAGCAGGGAAGACAGGCAGGTGGATTCCATTCCAGTGAGATAAAGAGGAAGCAGAAGGTTGCTATAGTCTAAACGTTTGTGTCCTCCCCAAATTCATGTGTAGAAATTATATCCCACCAGGCGGCGGTATTAAGAGGTGAGGCCTCTTGGGAGGTGAGTGGATCAGCATGTGAGAATGCAGTTAAGAAACTGGCCGTGTGGAACCTAGAAGAGCGCTGGCACCCTGATCGCGAGCTCCCAGCCTCACAACTGTGAGAAATAAATTCCTGCTGTGGGTAAGCCACCTAGTCTAAGGTATTCTACCACAGCAGCCCATGCGGACTAAGACACAGTGCTGAGGGGCAACGCCTGGTCTTGTGGGACGAGCGGGAGCTTAGCGGAGGAAGTAATGTCTAAACTGAGCCCTTATGAGTAGGAGTTAGCCAGATGGAAACCCCTCCAGGAGTGGAAACATTACTGCAAAGGTCAGGTAGCCAAATACAGCATGGCACACGTTTGAAGGGTTCAATGTGGGCTGTAGGGGGTGGGAAGAACTGAGAATGGTGGTGAAAGCTGAGCCTCTTATTAAATTAAGCAGGGACAGTTCATAAAGGGCCTTAAGCCATGGCAATGACAAGTGAACTTTATTTAGCATGAGGTCATGAGAAAAGCACTTAAATGTTTTTGAAAGGACTTGTGGGCTCACGCCTGGAATCCCAGCACCTGGGGAAGCCAAGGTGGGAGGGTCCCTTGAGCCCAGGAGCTGAAGACAAGCCTGGACAACATAGTGAGACCCTGTCTCTACAAAAAATAAAAAAGCCGAATGTGGTGGCTCACACCTGTGGTCCTAGTTACAGGAGGCTAAGGGGGGAGATCACTTGAGTCCAACAGGTTAAGATCAGATCTTGGCAGTGAGCCAAGATCATGCCACTGCACTTCAGCCTGGGCCAGGGTGAGACCTTGTCTCAAAAAACTAAAAAGAGACAAAAAGAGAGACAGAGAGACAGAGAGAGAGAGACAGAGAAAGAGAGAGAGAGAAAGGGGGGGAGGAAGGGAAGGGGGGACTTGTTGCTTTTGAGGAAATACTTGCTTTTTAGGAAAATCGGTCTGCTGGCAGTATGGAAAAGGAACCACTGAGGAGAAGCGCTTGAGGCAGGGCACCCATGAAAATGCTGCTCAGGAACCCACAGGAGTGACGGTGGCACAGCCAGGCAAGGAGCAGAGGGCAGACAAGGGGACAGATCCCAGCGACATTTAACAGGCAGAAAGAAAGGGAGCTAAGTGCGCGACTGGACGTGAGAGGAAGGGAGGGGCCCAGGAGGACACAGATTTCCAGCTTGGGCAAGTTGGGGTGTGGTGTGTAGGTCACTGAGATGAGAGCCCAAGACAACCATCAGACTTGGAGGTAAAGCTCATGAGCCGATTCTTAACTCACAGAATTCCCTTAGTTTTTTGCCTTTTTTCTTCCAAGACTCCCCAGACTATTAATGACACCTACAAAACGAGAAGCGGGTTCTAGGCCTGCACTGCTCCCTGTCCCGGAGGCCCCACGCCCGAGCCCATCGAGGGGCCGCCTCGAGCTCGGCGTCCTCCCGGGTTACCTCGAGCTCAGGGTAGCTGAGCACCACCAGAGAGGCACAAGCACGGACACTGTCCCCTTTCACGAAGGACACGTCAACGCCCCCGACCCTCCGCAGACCCGAGAAGGCGGGGTCCCGCTGCCACGCCTCGGTGTCCCGGTCTACGACGCGAGCCTTCAGCCGAGCTTGCTCCCTAGGAGGACAGAAGCGTCAAACCCAGCCGGGGCCACACCCCAGACTCTGCCTTCTCCACCTGCGCGGCCAAACGCCTCTGCCCGGTCTTCTCCAGCTTCAAGGGAAGGCAAGTGATACGCCTGCGAGGCCACACTCCCCGGAGATCGGTGGGCGGAGAACACGGCACGCGCACGCCCAACAAGCGTGGCCGGAAGCGAGAACCGCGCCCACCCCGCGGACTACAACTCCCGAGGACCCTCCGCTCCCGCGCCGGAAGCTGGGCTGCGCTCGGGAGCCTCGGGCGGCGGCCACCGCTCCGACTCCACAGCCTGAAGACTACGAGCTCGGAGGGTCTGCGGAGAGCCGCGCGGCCTCAGCGCCCGCCTCCTGCGCGTCGCCCGCAGCATTACCGTTTCCACAGTGACAGCGTTTCCTCCGACATCGATCCAGCTGCCTCCTGGGCCATTGCTCCGTCCCGGGCGCCCCTTCCACACGTCATTTCCGGAGGCGACTCGCGCATGCGCCGTTCTCCCTCGTTGCCGTGGAGACGCCGGCGCTTTCCCGGGCCGCACATCCAGCGGAGGACTTCAGAAGCTCGTGGCCACTAGGCGGGAGCCACTGCGTGATTGGACGCGCACGCACACGGCTTCGAGTTGCCCGGCGGCCCCGCGCCCGTTATCGGCTCGGACCCGGGAGCCCCGTGATGCCTGTCCCGCCTGTGCAATCCCTGCGGCGAGCGCTGTGCTCTGCGCGGCCAAGGGCCGCACGCCCTGTTGCGAGCCGTCGTGCACGGCCCCTCCGCTCTTGGAGAAGGCCGGTCCAGCTCTGCCGGTCCCACTCCTCCACCCGGCCAGCGTCCGCCTTTGGCGAATCCCGAAAGGACTTGTAAGGTTTATTCTCTGTGAGGTCTATTGCCGAGTGCAAAATGAGGACGCGGAGGCCTGCATTAGAACAATTAGACGCCAATTTATTCGGCTCCCGGGCGAGGTTCTACGGCCCAGGGAAAGGGGTCAGAGAAGTCGCGCCTGACGTGTGGTTATATAGGGAGCAAGGGCGCTCTGATTGGCTGTGGAGAAACAGGACGTAGACGTGGCAAGCAGCTATAGGTAGGTAGGCGGGATTTCCGGTGAGCGGGCTGGATGCGGCAATAGCTATTGGGCAGGTCTTGGCGGGGCTTCTTTTAAATTTTGGGCGGGGTTTTCCAACGGCTGGCTAGCTGCCGAGTTTGGGGTTTAGTGTTGAGTGCAGAGGTGGGCGTGGCGAAGCTAGATGCTGAGCGCAGATTCTGGTGACGTAATTTCAGGCGTGAGAGGGATGGGCGTGCCCGAGGTAACCGGCCTTACAGGACTCACCGGGCCCGGGCCGTCCCGGCGGCTACCGAGCGCCTGTCGCTGACGGTCCCCCCGACGGCAGCCCAGGGGCGCCCTCAGGCTTTTGAGGGCTGGTCTCGTGTGTTTCAGTTCCTCGCAGCGGAGCGGGCTGGACTCCTGGCCGGGAGCGGGGCTCCAGCCTTGTACTGGGTTTCGTCCGGGCTGGACTTGGGTCAGAAGGTCTCCCCGACCAGACCAAGCACGGGCGACCTCGGGGGTGTCGCTTCTCGCCCCGTGCTCCTCAGCCAGTGCTGGCCCAGTGCTCTCGCTGTGCCAGGTGCTGCGCGAATACTGTGAGGGAGAATGTTATTTGCGGGGAGCCGACTTCCGACCGCGGCTGGGAAAGGCCTTAATGAGAGGCAGTACTGAAGAGGCGTGGAGGGTGAGCGAGGGGGCGTGGCGGGGCACGGGAGGGGCGGGGCACGGGAGGGCGGGGCGGGGCAGGAGGGGGGGGGGCGGGGCCTGGGACAGCTTTTGCGTTGAGGTCCCGGGCTGGGAAGGAGGTTGGTGTATTTGAAGCGCTGAAGTGTAGGCGTTTAACCCGTGACCTTATATTCTACTGGGAGGATTCAGAAGGGCGTGTGTTTGTGTATTGTATGTATCTATCATGTATATTAGAGTCTGAATATAAATGTCAAGGGTGTTAGGTTTTGAAAGGGAAGGTGAGGGTTAATGCTGCAGCAAGGGCGCGCGGGCGGCTCTACAGTGACACAGGTATATTGCAAAAACCCGTGGAGGTGGGCGAGCAGCTCAATGCCAGGGCCCGCCGGCGAGTACCTGCTGGGGTGCCCGGGCGGGAGGGTCTGGGCAGCCTGGCTTGCTGTCCCGGAAGAGGCAGCTAACGTGTTCCCAGGATGAGGCGGTTCCGGCGGAATGTGGCGTTCCTTGCACCTTGTCCCAGCAGAATGTAAGAGGCAGGCTGTTTCACATGGCCCAGACTGCCTTGGGATGTTTGACTTTTACCAAAGTCTGCAACGTGGCAGGGGGCTTACAAAATGGTACAGTTTAGACTAACTTTGAAAGCAGGGTCAGTTTTTAACGAATGACCGTCGCCCACTGCACCCCATGCACTGTGCTCCGCTGCTGACCGACACCGGCCTTTTTCCCATCAGAGCACTGACAGGTGTCTGCCTCACAGATGAGGAAACTGAAGCTTAGGTCAAGCCGCTTGCCCACAGCCAGAGAGCTGGCAAATGGGAGAGCTAGGACTCACAGGCTGGTCTGGGCTGTGTCGGCTTTGTTGGGTTCCAGAGAGGCCAAGGCGAAGGAGCCCTTGGATTTGGTAATTAGGAGTCACTCCTGGGTCCGTGGGGATGGGGCAAAGCTCGTGGGTTCTGAGGAAGTAGCTGTCTCCTGTGTTGAGGTTCTGTTGCGCTTCAGGGCACAGGTGGTAGTGATCGTGAAGGAATACTGGGGACGGTAGGACCCTTTAGTAAGTTTAGGTGTGAGGGTAAGCGCAGCAGAGCTGAAGGCAGCCTGGTGGAGCACCTGCTGGGCCTAGGGCCCCTCCTCCTTTCTAACATCCCTCTGCTTTGGGCCCAGGTTGCTTTCCCATACACCCCCACCTCCTCAAAAGGGTTATCCCCAGCATATCCTGCAGAGAGGGTCATTAGGTGTCAGTTTTGACCAAATTTGTTCTCTTGGGGAAAATGCACTTTCCTGGTGGTGGTTTTTCCAGCTGGAAACGGGATTCGTAATGGCTGAGCTTAATTAATGAACGTGATGGGATCAGAATAGTGCATAATGCAATATAAATGCTAATCATGGCTTGGATTGTTACTCAGCTCGAGGCTCGGGTTTTCTCTGGCCACCTCCCCAGTTCTGCAGCCTCATTACACGCCACATGGACTGTATTAAATCAGAGATGTTTTCCTTCAACACTTTAATGCAGCACTCGCTGCACCCGGGGACCCTCCTCCGGCCTCTAACACTCGCCCGTATGGGCCCAGGTTGTGCTTATGTGCACGGCTAGACTTGGGCAGCTTTACCTACTTGGCCCTTTGAGCCGACATTTTCTTCCCAATAATTATTTAGCACTGGAAGTTTGTTTCTAAATTGGAATTGCCTGAACATATAGGAATGACTGAAATAGCTCATGGTCATCTCAGTTAACAAATGACAGTCTTATAACCATTAACGAAAGGCAAATAATTTACACACACGTAAGGTCCTTATTTTATTTTTTTGAGACAGGTCTGTCTCTGTCACCCAGGCTGGAGTGCAGCGGTGCGATCACAGCTCACTGCAGCCTCAAGCTCCCAGGCTCAAGCAATCCTCACACCACAGCCACCCGAGTAGCTGGGATTACAGGTGCGCACACTCGACTAATTTTTTCACAGTGAGGTCTTGAAGAAAAGGAGATAATGAGCAGTTACAGAGATTTTCAGTTCAGTCACCACCAAGGTAAGGCTGAAGGCACGAACTCCACAGCCCTGAGCTGTCCAGGGAAATGGTGTGAGGATGGATAAAGGCTAGAGGGGGAAGGTCAGGATTGGTGAGGAGGCATCCACAGCTGAAACAGGATCTGCAGGGGGAGGCGAGGCTGGCACAGGGCAGACACAGCGAGTCTTCCTGTGCAGGCCAGCACGCCTCTTCTAGCTGTGGTTCCAGACCACAGGTTTCTCACCCAGAAGAGCCCTTCCTTTTTGGAAGAGAAAATGCAATTTCACCCCTAAAGTGGCACTTTCAGCACTCAAGTGTAATTGGGCTCCTGGAAGGCTCACTGTTTATCTCACCCCAAAAGTGGACTCGCTGATAGGGTTAGCTCCACCTCAACTCCTTGTCAGCTACAGCCCTGCTGTTTCCAGTGTCATCATTTTAGGCAGGGCACGGGGGCTCCACTCTGAGGCTGGCCGTCAGCTTTTAAGCCTCAGATCAGCTAGAGGGCGTGGCACGAAAGTCCACCGTGGACTCGCAGGCCTGCTGTCGTTTTGTCCAGAGGACGTTTCCCATCTCGCATGTGAAAGCACAGCATGTTTTCCGTCTGAACATACCACCTCACGGACACCTGCGAGGGCCTTTCCACAAACCACAGAAACGATTCCCAAAAGCCTAGTTGATGTCTGTGTGCCTTAAATAGAAGCTCTGCCTCAAAGGGAAAGGTTCTTTAGCAGCAAAACTCCAATTTATTAAGACGGGTATAACAAGTAAAATTCACTTTTGCCTGTGCTAGGCATATATTTCTATACAAACGAGATAATGCAAGATAATGACAGCTAAGGCTTTGAGCACAGCATACAAAATGAAATAATTAAAAACCCTTCATAAAAATGGGAAAAATTCCCAGGCCAAAGGGAAAACAAAGGCCTTCACAGAAGGACTGACACCCGACTCCCAGGTGCCGAGGTGTGGCACACGAGAATCTGTGGGTGTGAGCTGCCACCTGATGGCCAGCTCGGAGGTAGCAAAGGAGCTCCGGATGCAAGCTGAAGACTTCCACAAGCCCGCCCCCCCGGCCCCCACACCCATCGCTGGGCGGTGGGAATGCAGATCTCCGTGGCAAGCAGCTCTGCTTAGTCCAGGAGGAGAAACAATCGTGGATGACTGTGTGGAACCAGCCACTGCCTGCAGTTGGGGTCACTCTTCCCTTCATCAGACACCATGACGGCGACATCACCAGAGAACGGAGCACAGCTCCTTCCAGGCCTCCTGCGTGTGCTGCCCAAGATGTGCGTGGCTGAGTTCTAGACAAGCATTTTGTGTTTTTGTAGCTTTCACTCCTTGGGCTCAATTTCAAGTTGATTGAATCGTTACCTCATTTAGAATGTATGATAAGGATACTGCCTCTAACTTGTCAAAAGCTGTGCTGAGCTGTCTAGGAAGAGAAATTAGTCCAAAGAGGTTGTTAAGTGTCAAAGCAGATTTTAGAAAGAAAGAAGGCAACGCTTGAGTGAGAAAGGCAGCACAAGATCCCGGCTTGGGGCCTGTGTTCTTTTCCCTCCCTTGGAAACGTAGCTGGTTTTGTACGCTCTGAGTCTTAGCTTGTATGCCTTGGCTGAGAACCACAGAAAGGACTAGATACTCATATACTCGAGAGCACATGGAGTCTGCGTGTTTATTTGGCATAATGCTAAATAAAAACTCCCCACGGAACTCCCAGAACCAGGCCTGGGACCCAGGTTTACAGTCTTCTGGTTTCTCTCATAATTTTAAAATATTAGGATCAGAAGAA